TCTCAATGAGAGGTCATAATTTGAGAACCCCATGTATGTTCATGGGGTTGAGCTCTGAGAAATGGACCTAATACAGCAGAAATGGCCCTCTGGTGAATGAATGCCCAATATACATGCAGGCAGGCAGGCAGAAAAATGAGAGGCACAGCTATGAATGATTATGTAAACAAAAGATGGTAAAATAAGAACCATAGTGGCGCAGTGGTTAGAATGCAGTATTGCAGGCTAGTTGTGCTGACTACCAGCTGCCAGCAATTCAAGTCTCAGTGGCTCAAGGTTGATTCATCTTTCCATCCTTCTGAGGTTGGTAAAGTTAGGACCCAGATTGTTGGGGTCAATATGATGACTCTATAAACTACTTAGGGCTTTAAAGCACTGTGACGCGGTATGTAAGTCTAAGTGCTATTGCTATTGCTATAACTCATTGTCTCTTTTCCCCAGTTACCTTCATGCTAAGAACATAATCCACCGGGACCTCAAATCTAATAGTATCCTTCTCTTGCATCTGTTCGGTCTTGGGTGGGAATCCTTTTTTAAGGAAAACTGAGTGAATTATTCACCTAAGAGCCAGCATGTCTGAGTAGAAAAAAAAGAGGGTTTGTACTACATAGTTGGAGCTCCTAAACTGTAAGTATTCCCAAGATACTGCATGAGATAAAAGTGTGACTTTGGGGAACTGAGGTCAGGAATAGATAACTGGTGCTTCTTGTTGGACAATTGATTAAGTACTCAGGCCAAGATACCGGTGAAGTTCCTTCACTTACTGCTGCCAGACATCTTCCTGCATGAAGGCTTGACAGTGAAGATTGGTGACTTTGGCCTTGCCACAGTGAAGACACGTTGGAGTGGCTCACAGCAAGTGGAACAACCCAGTGGTTCCATCCTCTGGATGGTGTGTATGTTGGGAGCTAAAGCTTTGAAACAGGCCAGGGTTGGGAGAGGAGAAGAGATAGGTAGCAGAAAACGGACAGTGTCCTTTCTCTAGAAAATAGAAAGGTTTGGCTTACCCCATCTGCAAATCTTAATGCCTTCCCACTGGACTCCCTCAGGCATCAGAAGTGATTCGAATGCAGGACCCCAATCCTTACAGCTTCCAGTCAGATGTCTACTCCTATGGAGTCGTCCTCTATGAGCTGCTCTCAGGGACTCTTCCGTATAGTCATATTAACAACCGGGACCAGGTAAGGAAGGAAGGAAGGGAATACTGGGTTCAGCCGCATCCTGTGTCCTAACTCTTTTTCCAAATGGTCCTTGCTGGCTATTTAATGGAGCCAACAGAAGGGGCTCAAGTGATTCTCAAAGTAGCCAAAGTCCTTGCTGGGTCTCATATTCTGCCCGTGATCTGATCTCCCTCTGAAGTGTTCTTCAAGGAGAGACCCTATCAGATTCAGATAGTCCATCCCCCTTTTTATTAGAAAGTTCATGTTCAAAATTGGGCATTATCCAGCCCAAAACCAGAAACATACCTGGAAAATTCCTCCATTGTCTTTCTTTGGGCCATGGTGTAGAATGCTGCCAACTCCTCCATTCAGATTTTTCTCTCTACTGGTCACGTGATCTGGAGTGGAGCTACCGGGGGGGTGGGGGGTGGGGGGTGCGGGGGGCGAGAGACTTGGAAATAATGTCAGAAACTCTGCTTTGCACAGTTTTCCTACATTGTTTTTAAATAACACTGCATCTCTCTTGTTCTTCTAGATCATATTCATGGTTGGTCGGGGATATCTGTCTCCTGACCTTAGCAAGGTGCCAAGCAATTGCCCCAAAGCCATGCGCAGGCTAATGAGTGATTGCCTTAAATTCAGTCGTGAAGAAAGACCCCTCTTCCCTCAGGTGAGACCTTAAGGGATTGGGATGTAAGATCCATCAAACAGGGTGATGTTTTAGCTGATGGCCAAACATACATTGCTGAGAAACCAATCAGCAAAATATCATGTATCTCCAGCAATCTGGTATGCAGAGGTACAGAGCATGTGCCCATGGATTTGCCTGCTTCTCTTTTGAAGATGTGAGGTAATTTTTGTCATGAAACCCAATAGACAAATCTTTGAAAGATAAAGCAACTAATCAGAACATTTATATTCATCAATATATTATTATTTGACTTTCAATTGCTGGGAAATGCAAGCCAAAAATACTATTATTGCTCTTATCTCCTGCTTTGGTGGACAAGAGATACTGGCTGGATTAGGATGAGCCTTCAGGCTGTCTCTGTACAGCTTTCCATGCACTCTTGTCCATCAAGTTAATTATGAGTTCTATGAAGAAATGCTTTACAGATAGTCCTCGACTTACAACAGTTCGTTTAGTGACTGAACGAAGTTACAACCGCACTGAAAAATGTGACCTATGACCATTTTTCACACTTATGACCATTTCAGCATCCCCATGGTCACATGATTTACATTTGAATGCCTGACAACTGACTCATATTTATGACCGTTGCAGTGTCCCACAGTCATGTGATTCCCTTTTGCGACCTTCTGACAAGCAAAGTCAGTGGGGAAGCAGGATTCACTTAACAACCGTGTTTCTAATTTTAACAACTGCAATGATTCACTTAACAAAAGTGGCAAGAAAAGTAATAAAACAGGGCAAAACTCATTTAACAAATTTCTCTCTTAGCAACATAAATTTTGGGCTTGGTTGTGGCCGTACGTTGAGGACTACGTGTATTGCATGTGTCCTAAAGTTGCTGATTAAATATCATAGTGCTATGAAAGAGAAAGATTTATTTTCCTCTCTTGACCTTCTCATCTCCATATATAACTATATAAACTGCTACCATACATGACTTCACTGTCATGTTTTCCTCCTATGACTTTTGATTCTGAGGCAGGCCAATGCAATTGCAGTGTCTCTTGTGTTCTTTTTAACATATAACTTCTTTCTAAAAGTGAACCAAAACTCCAAGATCAGAGAACAGTTAGAGGCATAAATCACGCAGATCTTCATATCATCATCACCTTTTTTATGACCCCATAATCCCTTGCCGGATGGAGTCTGGGCAACTGACTGGAGCAGAGTGCTTACTGGCTGGATGCCCTTCTTGTCACCAATGCAGATACATTCTCATTGTGCCCAGAGAGAAATATCTGCCTCTACCTAGGATCGAACTCACGGCCTCCTGATTATGAGGCGAGAGCTTCACCTCTAGGCCACCGCACCACTCTAACCTTCATATAACAGATCTTCATCTAATGTACATCATTCTACTTCATGGAGATATGGAGAGAGGGGAAAGAAATGGGAACAACAAAGTGCAGATTTACACATTTTCTCTCTTCATCTATGTCACATAAAGAGAGACAAACTTCTGTGGAGTTTCTACAGCCTTCAAGTTCTTATATTGTGTGCCTATTGAACAGCAAGTCAAAAGGATGGGATTTTGCTTTTCTGAAAAAGGTGAAAGGAAACTGAGATTCTGTAGATGCTCTGGCAGCTTTAGTACTATTGTTACTGGGTCACTTTTAGAGCTAGGCCAGCTCTACTTACAATAGCATTTTGAACCCAACTCTGCTAAGATAAGCATTTTGTGAGATTTTGCTCTGAGTGAAACTCTCTGTCTTCTCTTTCAGATTCTGGCCTCCATTGAATCACTTCAGCACTCTTTGCCCAAGATAGAGCGCAGCGCCTCTGAACCTGCATTGCACCGTGTGGCCCACAACTGACCACTTTAGCTCTGTGGCTCTGCAGCTGATGTGAATTCAGAGAGTGAGGCTGCTGAGGGCCATGCAGTCCTTGAGGCCAGTAGCTGCTGTACTCAGCCCTTCCGTAAAGTTGGGAACCTGGTGCAGTGGGGGCACCTGGCATTGCATTGTCTTTTCTACAACTATGGACAGAGGAAGTCCCACTTTTTTGTGTGGCCTGGTTTTTATTCTCTTCTTAGCCCCATGGCTTCAAGGAATCTCCAAACAGCAGCTGCCGTGTTATAAAGAGCCCACCGTGAGGTGATTTGGGCTCCATCTTCTCCAGGAGCACTTTTTTAATGGGCTCAACCTGTTTCAGGAACTCTTGTTCATTTGTTTTGAAAGTCAGAAAGAAACGTGTAAAAAGAAACATGATGATTAAAAAGCAATAACAGTGAAACTACAATGTGGGGTTTGTAGACATTCCTTATAAGAAGCAGAGTGGAGAATTATCAAGCAATAATATCATAGAACATCAAGGCCTGTCTGGTGTTCAGTCCTGTCAAATTATAGATTTAAGATTGCGTCAACAACAAAATCTTGCTAACCTGTTGTTTCGTTTCAAGAGCTGCTGGAGAGTAAAAATTTGCATTAGGGAGATGCTGCTAGAATTCTACCATTGTTTGAAGGCTTTTGGTACCTTCAAAATAATTAGTGTTTCTGACTATTGCCCCCTTTTCTAAATACCAAGACTTTTCACCTACATGCACCTAAATGAAATAATATGTTTAGTGAATATGGAAATAACTGTGTAACCTCATGAAAACAAAATATCTGATGCCATATGGTGATACTTCCAAGATCAGACACTGCTAAATAAAGTCAGTTCTCATACACCCTCTATATAAGCAGTTTAAGAGCTACTATGGTAACAAGAAAATAGGAAAAGAAATGAAAACATCTGAACAACGTGGGTGTTGAGAGTTTTGCTCAGACCTGCAGAATCTAGCAGCATTAAAAGGAAATAAAAAGGAGATAAACCAGATGAAGCTATAGTAACTTTATTTAATAGTGAAATACCAAAAAGTACAATGACAACGGGGAAAGAAAATGATAGTGATTATAATTGTGTGTGTGCACGCTCACACCCACCCACAGTGATTTTAAAAGTTGACCAAAAACATTAACAGAAAAAGAGATGTAATAAACATAGAAAGTAATATAAAAACTAATTCGATCCTTAAGCTTTTCATTCAATCTAGGCCATGTAAAAATATTTTCTTTCATATTTTCATTTTTGGAACATAGAATATTATCAAAAACACACAACAGACTCATATATTGGATCCTTCCTTAAAATCAAGATGGTAAGCTGCTTTGTATAATATAGTATAATACTAAATTGTATAATATGTTATTGTTGTGCCTCAGGTTCAATAAAACCAGAGCACTTCATGAGATGACAAGCTCCACATTTTAAGAATATAGTCAAAGAACCCACTCTTTCCAAAGTTGTTCTGGCATGCATAATAATTTGAAATCAAAACAGCATAGCCATAGGTGGGAAAGACCACATTCTCTGAGTTCAAGGTCCATGAAATTTCTTACACACCAGCATAAAAAAATTGATTGTCTCTTTTTAAATTTTCTTTCAGGGGGTCCAATAAACAAAATAATACTTTCGGTGGAGTTAATGTCATGTTTAGATCATGAGTATATTTGACATATCTTAACACTTGGACCCATTGACTCTCCAAAATTGGATATTCCGATTCCTCATTCTGCAATTCAGATATATAACTAATACTTCAATTTAACTTTTTAATTTTTTATAAAAATGAATTGTTGGTTCAAGCACTGCATTTCTTAAAGCTCCTAAAGTTGCGGGACTCAGGAGGTGTTAAAACATCTGGGCCATACTGTTTAATTCTGATGTTTCAGCAGTACGTATTGCCAAGCAAATATTGTAGATAGTCAACCCAGAATTTCTCAAAGCATTTAAACATTTGAAACCAACTGATTTTGATCTCAAGAGTTTGAGTAAAATATCTTCCCTGTTATTTTCAAATTGATTATTTAGCAATTTCAATTTCTTGTATGATTTGGAATTAAAGCGTAACTGCTTATCAATAAACAAATAGGTTTGGCAGCCAAGTTCCCTATATCCTGAAGTTTGCAAAAGTCTTGGACAGGTATTTCCCACCCCACCAGTGGTGAAATCCAGCAGGTTCTTACAGGTTCTGGAGAACCGGTAGCAGAAATTTTGAGTAGTTCGGAGAACCGGCAAATACCACCTCTGAGTGGCCCCAGAGTGGGGTGGGAATGGAGATTTTGCAATATTCTTCCCCTGCCTCACCCACCAAGCCACGCCCACAGAACTGGTAGTGAAAAAAATTGGATTTCACCCCTCCCCCCCCCAACACACTCATTAGAAGAAGTCCATTACTGAAGAGAAGAACTGATGCCAGAAACTGCTAGGGATCTGCAACTGTATAGAAATGGAGGATAAAAGGCAAAAAGGTTCAGGAAGCTTGAAATTCCAAAGATATCCCATGGCTACCTCAGGGTGTCATGGCCACCAATGACCAAGAAATCAGCTTTTGTACAGCCTTTCCAAAACAAAAATGACAGACATGACATCTCAGGATTAGATATTGATCTAATACCTGAGATATTGTTCCCTCTATCTCAAGAGGAAATTCTAGAGCTAGAGTTCGCATAAAAAAATTAAACAACTAGATAAGAAATACATTGATTTTTTTGGTCAGTTTAACATAACATTAACATAAAATACGCTGTGTCCAAATCTGTCTTCCAGAAATCTAATCTAATCTCAGCAAACCAAACGGGGACGTATTATGCTGCCAGTTCTTTGAGAAATCAAGTGTGGCTAGTTTGAATGGCAACTATGAACATCAAGGCAAGAGAAAATCTGGGGGAAGATGTGAGGGGAAGCTTTAAATATCAGCAGGGTACACTGGGAAACAAAGTTTGCCTCTGGAGAAGGAGCCAGGAATAACAGAGAATAAGGTGAGGAAACAACAGTCACTTTCTTTTGTAACAAACTCCCTAGGAAAGCCAGTATGATGTAGTGGCAAGGCACCAGATTAGAAATTTAAGAGTTCTAGTGAAGCATAAAAACTAGCTGGTGACCACAAGTCATTCACTCACTTTCAGCCCGAGGAAAAAGTCAATAGCAAAACATTTCTGAAAAAGGTTATCAAGAAAATACATGGAGTTGAAAATGGAGACACCCAAGGATGTTTGACGCTTATAAAAATAAAACACCAGACAATAGTTCTAATCCTAACATTTTCCTTCTTGCCTCAGCCCCGTCTCCCCTTAGAAGGGGGAGAAACAGCATAGAAACAGCTCAGTTTATTGACTGTTGATGCATCTTACAGCCTCTCTTTTTCTCTACAACTAGGTATCTTGGCCCTGCTAAGTCTTTGTTTTGTGAAGAGTGAGTCACACAAGAACAACGCTTTAAATCTTCATCCACAGGATGAAGCCCCCATGATCCTTCCGTATATTTCTGTTTTTGAATCATCCTTTTCTGATTTTGGAGTCTGCCTTGTCTTCCCATCCCACAAAACATCCCACTGATCTCTTTGCTGGGAGCAGTCCATTCTAGAACATTTTGAACTAGGAGTCACAATTTGCCTTTACTCCACCTTGGATGCTCTCTCACTCAACACACTTCCAGAAAGACTGCTACGGAAAGAAAGCTCCTTTTTATTTGTATCCATTTCATGTATTGTTAATCATGTTTATACATTTCATATATTCATAATCATGTTTATACTTTTATCTGTAATCTTATAGATTCTTGACAAAAATAAATAAATAACTAAAACCTCTGCCTTAAGTGAATGGCTTCATGAAGAGCAAGATATGGATTCTACAGAATCACATGGATTTTTCCTAGCCAGCTTCCTGGTCCTCCTGTTCTTGGGAGATCTCACAGATGCCTGCAGCTGTGCACAATTATCTCTCCAGAAAGCATGTGACAAAGCTACGTTTGGTGAGTTTTGAAAATGACTGTTTTTCTCTCTTCCATCTCTTACTGCTCCCCACTTCCTTACTTTGTAGGTTTTGCTGCCAGCATTAATCCTTCCAATTGCAGCAAAATCATTCCTATGGCATGAATGCCAAACATGTATATCAGAAGCTTTTGTTGAATAAGACTAACCAGCACCATTGAGTTTGTCTTTACTGAGAATCTGCAAGTACCTCCTACTAGAAAATCTTTTTGTGTGTCTCTCCAGTGATGAGGGCCAAATTTATGAGTGTCATGCCAGATCCTGAATCTCCATCATATTCACCCAAAAATGTCTATACTATTCAGCCCATTGAGGTAAGCCTCTCCACCTCCTGAAACATTATTTTGTGAAGCGATATTATTCCTCTCATGACAAATTCTCCTGACCTAGTCTTGTCCTTATCATACACTGAATTATCTTTCTTTCTGAAGACATACAAGGGTCCAAAGGAACTACGAATGGCACAGTTTCTCTACAGCCCAGTCTCAGATGATTTCTGTGGATATGTACACAAAGGCTCTCTCAAAGGAGAAGAATACCTATTTTCAGGTAGAGAATACCAATTATCTAGTAATAGTCAATGAATAGAATAGAATAGAATAGAATAGAATAGAATAGAATAGAATAGAATAGAATTAATTTAAAAAGTTTAACAATCGAATAGAATATGAATAGAATATGTATTTTATAAAGATTATAATATTTTTTTATATCCTTAAAAATAATTAAATAAAAATTATATCCATTACATATTACTTCACTCTAAAGGCTTTACACATAAAAGAATCCATCTCTCTTTAACCCCCCCACCCCCCACCCCCCGGACTTCCCAGAGCAAAAACAGGGTATAGCATAACAAACATAAGCTAAAAAAGCTAACTTTCTGTGGTCTCCAAACTCCCTCTTGCTCTTTAACTCCCCTTTCAACTAACTAAACATATTCAAATATATATATATATACATATACATATACATATACATATACATATACATATACATACATATTTGGGCCTATTCCTACATAAAAATGGAAGTGTCTTGGCGACGTTTCGACGAAGTCTCATTCGTCATCTTCAGGCTGGTGTTCTCGGCTTCGTGCTTCCAGGAGCAATGTGAGATCGCAGCTGTCTCTTCCTTTTAACTGCTAGTGGGGGTGTGAGCTGATTGGGTGGGAACTTGGCTGTGTTCTGATTGGGTGGAGGTGTGTTCTGATTGGTTAGGGGCTTGGCTGTGCTCTGATTGGATGGGGGGTTGGTTGTGCTCTGATTGGCTGGGGGTGTGTTCTGTTTGGGTGGGGGCTTGGTTGTGCTCAGCTTAGTCTGAGTTGCAGGGGGATTTGAGCTGGTGAGCTGCGTTGTTGTTGTTTGGCTTCGTGTTTGTGGCCGTGCGAGCTCTTCATTGTGGGTGTCAGTCTGCTTCATGTATGGATTGGAGGGGTTTAAAGTGGCTAATGATGCAGCTGCGGTCTGGCTTCTGGTCCTTGGTCGTGGCTCATTATCAGTGTGGGTTTGAGTCTGCTTTCTGCGTGGATGTGTGGTGGTGACATCCTGTGTGGCTCTCGTGAGTGTGGGTCTGGTGTCATTCGTCGTGTTAGGGACTCGTTTGTCAATAAGGGCGGGTTTCCAAATGGCTGGTAGGCGGGAGGTATCGTCTCGTTTGTTCATGCTGTGTGGGCGTTTTTCTATCTCGATGGCTTCTCTGATTATTCTGTTGTTAAAGTGTTCAGTTTTGGCGATAGTTCTGGTCTTTTTAAAGTCAATATCATGTCCTGTGGCTTTAAGGTGTTGGACCAGGGAAGAAGTTGGTTCCTCTTTTCTGACTGAGTTCTTGTGTTCTTCTATGCGTCTTCTATGCCTCTCATATATGCTTTACTTGCATCCCAAACCATTTCCATAGATGTACCCTTATGCATATTTATAATAAAGAATTCTTTCATAAATTTTTTACATTCTTTTACATTTTCCTCATATCTAAACAGATTTTCATTTAACCTCCAAGACCTCTTAGAACCCCTTCCATACTCTAATTCCATCCAAACTGGATTATGATCCGTTAAAACTCTTGGACAAATCTTCGTCTTCTTCACCCTGGAAAAAAGATAATTTGTAATTAATATAAAATCAATCCTGGAGAAAGATTGATGTCTATCAGAAAAAAAGGTAAAGTCTTTTTCTTCAGGGTTTCTCTCTCGCCAGATATCTCTCAGCTCCATATCCTCCATCATTTCAAAAACGATTTTGGCAATCTGGCACGCGTTGAAATGTTCTGCAAGAGCCGCTTCTTATCTTTTTTAGTGTCCAAAACTCCATTCCAATCACCCAATAAAATACATGATTTATAATCCCATTGTAGTAACTTGGAATGTAAAAGCTTATAAAATTTTTCCTGTTGTTGGTTCGGTGTGTAGACTCCAATTAAAAGTATTTTTTCTCCTTTTATTAAAAGTTCAATTGCTATAAATCTTCCTTGATCATCTGCTTCAATTAATTTGGCAATTAAGTCTTTTTTTTAGGTATATAACTATACCATTCTTCTTCTCAGGAGCAGATGCAACAAAATGTATACCTAACCTTGCATTTATTAAGTACTTTTGATCTTTACTTCTAATATGAGTCTCTTGTAAACAAATTACATCATTTTTAAACTGTTTCAAATAATGAAATATTTTTCTCCTCTTTTGTGGTGAATTTAGGCCATTAACATTCCAGGCCAAAAATCTAGTTGCCATTCTTGGCCCCCTGAAACATTTGGAGCATATGCTGGAACTCTCCACGCATTTTACTTTTTGGCCTTGCTCCTCCCACTGCTTCTGTTTTTGTAGTATCTTGAATCATTTGAAGTTGCTGCACTCTTAATTCTTCTTGACGCTTGGCTGCCGCTCGAGTCTGTCTTTGATCCTTAGGTTCTTCTATCTCCAAAGCTTGAACAGTAGTCGAAAATTGTATTAATTCTTCTTGAATAATCAAATCACCCTTTTGGGCCTGTGCCAACAATTCTTCTTTCTCCCCCTTTCTTACTCCCTCTATTTCCGTCTTCCTTCTAGCTTCCTGGGGCTGTGGGCATCCAGCCTTTAATACATTGGTATAGAAATCTCTTGCCTTCCACACTGAATTGAGACGGTATCTTTCTCCTGAATAATTCACCACTAGACCAGCTGGAACTTCCCATCTATACTGTATCTGACGGTATCTCAATTCTTCCACCAGAAAGGCATAATCCTTTCTGGCTCTCAACATTTTGGGGGGAATTTCTTTCAGTGTTAAAACCTCCTGCCCCTGCACTTGAAGTTTATTTTTAAAAGTAACTTGTAGGATTTCATTGCGTAGTCTCCTTGTTGTAAAATAAACTACAATGTCTCTTGGTAGATGTTTCTGTCTGGCCACCCATGAATTGACACAATAAATTTTGTCAATTTGCCATTTAAAATTTGCTTTTTGATCTCCCATTATCTGTGCAAATGCTTCTGAAAAGATCTCTCTCAAATTCTCTTGCTTATTTTCCTTGAGGTCTCTTATTCTCAGAGCAAATTCCATGTCTCTATATTGTATCATTATCACATCAGCCTCTGCTCTTTCCATCTTGTCCTGGACCTCCCCCATTTTATTTTCCAAGTTCTCATTAGACTGCTTAATTTCTTCCAGTTTTTCATCTATTGCTTTAATATGTCCTGCCAATCCTTGTACTGCCATGATAATATCTTCTCTAATTTCTTGGTTTCATTTTTGAATAGTCTCTTTGACTTGAGCTATCTCTTCAGCAACCTCTCGAGTTTGCTCCTGAAACATTGAAGCAATTTTTTTTTCTGTAACAGAGGCTTGTGTTTTGAGGGCTTCCTGCAACATTTCATATGTTAATATTGTTGGTTCCATTGGAACAGAGAGAGATTGCAATCTGGACGTTTGAGCTGGTGAAGTCCCAGCACTTTTGGGGACAAAAGCCTTAATTTGTTTTGAAGCCATTTTTAGTTTCCAATTTAAATTTAATCAGCTGCCAGAACAATAAATCCACCAAATCCAGAAATCAGTCTTTAAATAATATCAATCCTTTTTTTTTAAAAAAAAATCACTGCTGTAATCTTTGATCTTCTTCTTTTTAAAGCACAAATCTCTAATTTTGAACAGGGGCTGCCAACACTAAAAGAAACTTCCTTTTTAACTTTCGCTTTCACGCCCCATTAAAGCTCAATTGCCATCTTGGTTTCACTTTCTCCCCTTAATACGTCAGAGGGAAGTAATACACATTTGGAGTTAAAGTTCAGTACTTGCAGATCTAATCTCTCCTGAGTTTGCTCAGCCTGCTTCCGAATGACGTTTATTCCAAACATTGTTTGCAGGGGTGGTCGCGGCGTCTTCTTCTGCATAAAGCAGAAACGTCCCGGATCCGGAGCTTTGTCGGGCTTCCAGGGAGCTCTCGCCCTTCGAGCCTCAGAATTGTTCCTGGGGCTCCTTGGGGAGCTCTACCTATGCCCGTCTGCTCTCTTCCTCCCCTTTTCCCGGGGAGAAAGTTTCCAAGCCGCTAGACAGCTGATTTGTGCTGTTCTAGTGGCTTTACGAGATCACGGGGCTGGCGCTCAAGAAAAGAGCGTCCTCGGCCACCGGAAGTCGATCAGAATAGAATTCTTTATTGGCCAAGTGTGATTGGACACACAAGGAATTTGTCTTGGTACATACACTCTCGGTGTACATAAAAGAAAAGATACATTCGTCAAGAATCATAAGATACAACACTTAATGATAGTCATAGGGAACAAATAAGCAATCAAATCATATTAGGAAACAGTCAATATAAATCCTAAGGATACCAGCAACAAGTTTACAGTCATACAGTCATAAGAGAGGAGATGGATGATAGGAACGATGAGAAGATTAATCGTAATGCAGATTTAGTAACTAGTTTGACAGTGTTGAGGGAATTATTTGTTTAGCAGAGTGATGGTGTTCGGGAAAAAACTGTTCTTGTGTCTAGTTGTTCTGGTGTGCAGTGCTCTATAGAGCCATTTTGAGTGTAGAAGTTGAAACAGTTTATGTTCAGGATGTGAGGGGTCTGTAAATATTTTTACAGCCCTCTTTTTGACTCATGCAGTACACAGGTTCTCAATGGAAGGCAGGTTGGTAGTAATTGTTTTTTTCTACAGTTCTAATTATCCTCTGAAGTCTGTGTCTGTCTTGTTGGGTTGCAGAACCAAACCAGACAGTTATAGAGGTGCAGATGATAGATAATTTAGATACATCTAAATTAAAAAGGATGGCACATTGCAAAACATTTCTTTCAACATCATCATTTTTACTAATCTGCTCTATGGTACTACTTGGTCAACTTCCATCCCATTTTTGGAGGGATAAACCAATGTCAGTGAGATACTGTATTGTCAGTTCCCTTAGAGATATAAAGTTCGCTTTAAAAGACTATAGATTTGCTGAGAAAAGGAGAAAGTTGGCTTATATGGAACTGAAACATTCCCTACTTAAAATGTGGGCCAAATACCAATGGTTAGGGTTCAGGTTCTGATTAGGGTTAGGGTTAGGGTTGTGAATAAATCCTTACAGCTACTTGTTGACACCATCTTTTTCTACCTTTTCTATTTCAAAAGGATCAATTTCTGACAATCGTTTTAAAATCTCAATGTGCAGCTTTGCAGAACCATGGGATAAAGTAACTTCTGAACAGAAAAAAATCCTGAAAGGTGGAGGTTATAAGGGCTGCAGTGACTCCTGACCCAAGTCATAAACTTCATGGCCTTCGCTGTCATTATGCTAGTGCTTAGAGAATGAGAAATGAACTAGATGTACCTGAATGCTTGTTACAAGAAAGCAAATGTTCAAAACAAGATGAGCAGCAAATAAATCTAATAAATGAAATTAAATAAAATGTGATTTAAAAGTGTCAGTTATTATTCAGATGTGTATATTCTCCATGTCATCCACAGTAAATATCATTGATAAGCCATGGTAAACAAATAAACACTGTACAATTTATTATTAAAAATAGTTTTCTGAAATTCAGCAATTCTATGATAATTCCCCCAACAACTCACAAGTTCATTTAATACCAAGGTGCCATTCAAGAATGGAAAAGCTCAGTTTTCCCCCTTTCTGAAAGGATGAGCTAGAGAAGCCATCTTCTCTCCAAAGGGATTGGGATTTCCCTAGGATTGGTGCTGTGATGGAAAGACATAATCTCCTAATCTCCCTTCAGTCCAGAGGTAGGTTTCAGCAGGTTCTGACCAGTTCTGGAGAACCGGTAGTGGAAATTTTGAGTAGTTCAGAGAACCGGTAGTAAAAATTCTGACTGGCCCTGCCCCCATCTATACTCTCCCTACAAAGTCCCAGCTGATTGGGAGGAAATGGGGATTTTGCAGAAACCTTCCCCTGGAGTGGGGTGGGAATGGAGATTTTACAGTATCCTTCCCCTGCCACGCCCACCAAGCCACAACCACAGAACCGGTAATAAAATTTTTTGAATCCCACCACTGCTTCAGACCCATTTATTTCGTAGAAATCTGGGATTACTCTGATTATGATCTATGTATTGGAAATGTCAATCCGGGTTGGAGAACGTGGTTCTGAAGATACTGTTGTGCCAACCACATGGGTGTCTATTAGACAAAACCAGCCCTTGGATTTCCACTCAGAAAATTAAGCAAATGCCTTGTCACTATCTTCTCCCAGAAAGGAAGGCTTCAGATGGTTTGGCCCTCCAATAGACCAGATGTGTGGAGTGCCTCTTAATAGGGGGCATATTTATTTATTTATTTATTTATTTATTTATTTATTTATTTATTTATTTATTTATTTATTTATTTATTCTATACCGCCTTTCTCCCATAGGACTCAAGGTGGTGTACAGTCAAGAAAAATATAGACACACAAACATCATAAAATTGCTAATTAAAATTATTACTTAGTTTGGTCAATTAAATAAAACCCAGAATTAGATAACATTTAAAAAATCATTCACATGTTCATATGTTTAGCCCCGCCTGTTGGAACATCAGGGTCTTGAGGGCACGGCGGAAAGCACGGAAGCCTCTTGAAGCCTCTTCCATGTTGCAGGTGGTGCTCCAACCCACACGGAGTCATTCACTATTTTCTGGATTTAACATGTCTCAGCAGCAGAAATAAAGAGAAAATGACAACTGCTTGTTGCTGCCTACTCTTTGCCCAGATCTGGTGGTCCTACTTTACAAAAACTCTCAAACTGGTCTTTATAGGTTTTCAATTGGGGTACAGGAGACTCTGGGACCACAATCCACTTCCAAATTCTCCCAATCTCTTCTCATCCTATCCCAGTAATATTAGAAATATTTACATCACTGGAAGCAAAGAAAGAGAGATCTCCTCTTCTGTATCTAACATGGAAACATCTGAAGAATATCTACAAGGCGATCCAAGGTACAGTGAAAATTCAGCAGGGCAATTTATTGCAAACATTCAAAAACAGACTGAGCAGTCTGGAGCTTTCTGAAGGATTTATGGAACCTGAACACCTGGTCTTCTAAGGAGAGAGAACTGAATACAAGGATAGGTAGCAATAGGATTCTTCTGCTGATATGTAAGATCGTAATCAGAAAGAATCTCACTTGCAATCATGATCACTGGGACATTGCAATGGCTTGAATGCTGAGGACCCATCACCAGGACCCTTTGTCCAGTGCTGCCACTTGGACTAATTGACACTCCAAAACTAGGTATTATAATTCTTCATTCCGCAATTCAGATAAATAAATAATACTTCCATTTTATTTTTCAATTTTATTTTTATAAAAAATGAATTGTTGTTTCAAGCATTGCATTTCTTAAGGCTCCTAAAGTTCCAGGAGGCTATTAGAAGTTCTGGGCCACACTGTTCAATGCATATGTTTCTACTGCATATACAGCCAAGCAAAGATTATAGATATTATTCAACACAGAATCTCACAAGGTGTTAAAACTTTTGAAATCAACTGATTTTGATCTCTTACTTAGCCCAAGATTTCTAGCAAAACATATTTTATTTTCAAATCTGGTTATTCCACAGCTTCCATTTCTCATATGATTTGGGATTAAAGCGTAATTGCTCATCTATTAATAAACCAATAGGTTTAGCAGACACAATCTCTATGTCCTGAAGTTTGCTAAAGTCTTAGATAGTTACTTTTTTGAATGAAGGAGAATACATGTGTCCCATGATAATGTTTCAAGATCCAATCTGGGTCAGTCACTGGGACCAGAGGTTTAGTCTTCAGAGTTTTCAGACTTAGGGAACTTCTCTCCAGCAGAGGTATTTATTTCTCACCCCCCCCCATTCGACCGTGGAGAGTCTAGAAACACAAATGGCTGATTTTTATGGTCAGTGTTAACATTACATTAACATAAGATACGCTGTGTCCAAACCTGTCTTCCAGAAATCTAATCTATTCAGCAAATCAAATGGGAACATATTATGCTGCCAGTTCTTTGAGAAATCGAGTGTGGCTAATTTGAATGAGAACTATGAACATAAAGGCAAGAGAAAATTTGGGAGAAAGACTGAGGAGAAGCCTTAAATACCAGCACAATATGCTGGGGAAGAAAATTTGCCTCTGGAGAAGAACCCAGGAGTAACAGAGAATACGGTGAGGAAAAAAGAGCCCATTTCTTTTGAAGCCAACTCTCTAGGAGAGACCGTTTGGTATAGTGGGCAAGGCTGTAGGTTAAAAACTTCTAGTTAAGCCTAGGAAAGGAAGTGTATTGTTTCTGATGTTGTATCACATACAGTATATACAAATAATCAACAGGTCTCTGACAATACATGATTATTTATTTATGCAGATGATATAGCAGTGGCTACAGAAGGATCAGGTTTCGATGAGTTAGTTGGAAGACTCATTGTAGCACCTCAAAAATTAGGACGGTGTTATATATTGTCAATCATCTGCAGCCTAAACTATGCAAGACCCAAGTGTATGCGTTTCATCCCTGAAATTGTGGTGCGGGGGTTGAGTTGCATGGCAAGAGAATCGAATACAGCATTTCATTTAAACAACATTGCCTGAATACTAAGGCTAAAGTTAGCATGAGGAATAACTTTGTCAGGAAACTGACAAATTATATCCAGTACGTGGTGCTCAGCCACCCACTCTGCAGACATTGGTTTTGGCCCTGTTTATTTAAGCAGTGGAGGTGTGATGGTGGGCAGGGCACTTTTAACCCAGTGCAGGACCAAAAATAAATTAGAAGATGGAGGAGAGAATTTACAGAACAAAAATAATCCCAGAAGAGAACATGGCTGAGGGATTTGAACTCCCCTATGTTACTTGGAGGACATCGAATAGGCAGAGGGTGGAAGTGCCTAAATATGAGACCAATATAAAGTGCGGGTTGCTGCAGGATAACAACACACAGCACGAATGTCAGAAGATGACATCCTGGCCCACTTGTTGGTCTGTCAATTACTACCAATTAGAGTGCCCAAAAAGTGATTTGTTTCTGGCTAACAATAAAACAGAAAAGAGGGCCTCATTTTGGCTGTTTAAGATTTGATCTGGACACTAAATAAATAAAGCAAACAAACCAAGCAAACAAGCAAACTCACTCTAAGAAGTCAATAGCAAAAACATTTCTGGAAAAGGTGATCAAGAAAATGCAGGGAGTTGAAAATGCAGACACCGGAAGGGATGCCTGATTTGAAACTTACAAAAATAAAACACCTGTATCAAGACCATAATTCTCATCCTAAAGGTATTCCTTCATATCTCAGACCCATCTCCCCTTAGAATGGGACTCTCTAGAAACCTCTGATTTTTTTGAGAGTTGATGTGTCTTTGAGCCTAACTTGCCACACTTTTCTTCTCTACAACTCAGACATAGTGTTCTAGCTCTGCTAAGGCTTTGGTCCTGTGGAGAGTGATTCCCACAGGGACAAAGCTTTAAATCTCAATTTGTCCCACAGGATGGAGCACCCATTACCCATCCTTATATTTCAGGAATTGAATCGTCCTGATCTAAGACTAATGCTAGGACCATTTCAAACTTTGTCTTTAATCCTCAGCTGGTGTTTCTCACTCAACGTTCTTCCAGAAAGACTGCTACTCAAAGAAAACACCTCCTCCATCCTAAGTGAGTGGCTTCATAAACAGCAAGAAATGGATACTACAAAATCACATGGATTCTTTCTAGCCACCTTTCTTGTCCTCATGTTCTTGGGAGAACTCACAGAGGCCTGCAAATGTAAGCAAATAACTCTCAAGGATGCATGTTGCACACATGACTTCGGTGAGTTTTAAAAATAAATGTTTTTCTCCCATCTTTTAGTACTCTCTACTCATCTACTTTGGAGGTTTTGCTGCCAGCATTAATCCTTCCAGTTGCAGCAAAATCATTTCTATGGCATGAAAGCCGAACATATTATTTATTTCAGAAGCCTTTGTGCAGAATCCAGCACCATCTCGTTGGCTTTGTATTGAGAAAACTGCATTTAAACCTCTTACTGGAAAAACTCTCTCACTCTTTCCCTCTCTCCCTCCCTCCCTCTCTTTCTCTCTCTCTCTGCAGTGATGAGGACCCAATTTACGGGTGTCAAGCAGGATCCTGCCTCTCCTTCGTATATGAACATAAATATATTTAGTATTCAGCCCGTCCAGGTAAACCTCTCATCTTCCTGAAACATATGATGAAGAGCAAGTGGACATTGTTCCTCTCATGACAAATTCTCCTGACCTGCTCTAGACCTTATCATATACAGAATTATTATTTTTTCTGAAGGTGTTCAAAGGTCCAAAGCTCGTAAAAAATGCACGAGTTCTCTACAGCCCAGAATCACAGTCTCACTGCGGATATCTACACAGAGGCCGTCTCATAGGAGAAGAATACTTAATTTCAGGTAGAGAATACCAATTATCTGGTAACAGAACAATTAATACATATATAAATTAAAGAGGATGGCACATTCCAAACCAATATTTTCAACATTATCATTATTCCTAATCTAGTCTATATTATTTCTTGGTCACTTTTCATCCCATTTTTGGAGGGATAAGCCAGTGTCAGTGAGGCATTGTCAGTTCCCACAGAGATATGAAGCTTGCTTTAAAAGATTACTGATTTGTCGAGGAAAGGGGATGCAGTGGTGCAGTGGCTTCATGACACTGGAACTGCTGGCCAGAAATGGTCTGTACTCCAGTGGTTTCAGCCGAGCCCCGTGAGACCGAGTGAGATCCCATCACTAGATTCCTAGCTCCTGTCCACCCAGCAGTTCGAAAGCAGACAATATTGTAAATAGATAAATGGGAACCACTTCAGTGGGAAAACTGCATTCATAGCATTGAACAGAATGAATTATCGGTAGCAATCTAGGTTGTCAAGACTGCATTGGGTCTAGCATGTGTAGATGTTTAATTATTGTATGCCATACACTAATTAAATAATAAATGTTGAGAAAAGGACAAAGTTGACTTGTTTGGAACTGACATCATTCCTTACTTAAAAGGTGGAGCAAATAAAAGAAAATTGTCAAGGACTTTTGACAAGTTACTGTGAACAAATCTTATCAGTTACATATTGACACCATTGTTAATGTCTTTTCTATCTCAAAAGGGTCAGTTGTGGAAAATCGTCTTCAAATCAAATTGTGTGACTTTGCAAGACGATGGGATAAAGTAAGTGATAAACAGAAAGTGGACCTCAAAAGTGTCGTTGATAAGAATTGCAGTACCATCTGTGCAAAATTATAAAATTCATGGTCTTCGCTGTCATTATGCTAGTGTTTAGAGAATGACAAATAACCTAGATGTACCTGAATGCTTATTAGAAGAAAGCAAATGTTCAAAACAAGATGAGCAGCAAATAAATCTAAATGAAATGAAATAAAATGTGATTTAAGAGTGTCATTTATTTTGTGTGTGTTCTCCATGTCATTCCATCTTGCTATTTATTTATTTATTTATTTATTTATTTATTTATTTATTTATTTATTGGTTCGATTTATATGCCGCCCTTCTCCGGAGACTCAGGGCGGCTTACAATGCATTAAGCAATAGCCTTCATACGTTTGTATATACCTGCTTAGTAGGACTTTTGGGCCCCCCTAAGCGGTGTTCTTTTTTATACAAAGTCAGCTCATTGCCCCCACAATCTGGGTCCTCATTTTACCTACCTCGGAAGGATGGAAGGCTGAGTCAACCTTGAGCCTGGTGAGATTTGAACTCGCAGTAATTGCAGGCAGCTGGCAGCTAAGTGCTATTTTAACAGCACTTTAGTCCACTACACCACCAAGGCTCTTTCTATGTAGAAAAGGGGGAAAAACATCCATAGTAAATTTCATTAATAAGCCTTGGTAAACAAAGAAACACTGTACAATTTACTATCTTAAAAACAGTTTTCTGAAAATCAGCAATTCTATGATAATTCCCCAACAACTCACAAGTTCATTTAATAGCAAGGTGCTATTCAAGAATGGAAAAGTTCAGTTTTACCACTTTCTGAAAGGATGAGCTAAATAGGGGAAGCCATCTTCTCTCCAAAGGGATTGGGATTTCCCTAGGATTGGTGCTGTGATGGAAAGACATAATCTCCTAATCTCCCTTCAGTCCCATTTATTTCATAGAAATCTGGGATTACTCTGATTATGATCTATGTATCGGAGATGTCAATCCAGGTTGGAGAAGGTGGTTCTGAAGATACTGTTGTGCCAGCCACGTGGGGCTCTATTAGACAAAAACAGCCCTTGAATTTCCACTCAGAAAATTACAGGTAACCTGTGCAGAGCATTGATCGAATTCCCCTCTGACTGCAACTGCTAAGAAAAGAGTAAAACTACTGTAAAACAGTCCCCAAATTTTGCCGGTGATCCAAAGGATAACAATGATGGATAGTATCCAAAGCTAATGAATTAGTACATCAGTACTAGAAAAGAGGAAATTATCCCAAACAAAGTCGTGTCAAAGGTCATCAACTATACAAGGAATGTTGTTTCTGTCCCCGATCTGGGACTAAATCCTGATTGAAAGAACTTGCCCACCTCCACCCCCAAAAAATCCCTGCTTCCCCAGTGGTCTGTATTTTGCTTTGTCCCTATCTTCTCCCAGAAAGGAAGGCTTCAGATGGTTTGGCTTTCCAATGGACCAGATGTGGGCTGTGCCTCTTAATGAGGAGGCATATTGCAACAACATGTCCCCAGTAGCAGAAATAAATAGAAAATGACTACGCTTGTTGCTGCCTGCTCTTGGTGGTCCTAATTTAGAATCTCTCTCAAATTGGTCTGTACAGATTTTCAACTGGGGTACAGGAGACTCTGGAATTACAACCAATTTCCGAATAGTCCCAATCTCTTCTCATTGTGTCCCAGTAATATTATAAATATTTACATCACTGAAAGCAAAGAAAGAGAGATCTCCTGTTCTGTATCTAACATGGAAACATCTGAAGAATATCTACAAGGCGATCCAAGGTACAGTGAAAATTCAGCAGGGCAACTTATTGCAAACATTCAATAAACAGACTGAGCAGCCTGGGGCTTTCTGAAGGATATATGGAACCTGAACACTTGGTCTTCTAAGGAGAGAGAACTGAATACAAGGTTAGGTAGCAATAGGATTCTTCTGCTGATATGTAAGGTCGTAATCAGAAAGAATCTCACTTGCAATCACATGATCACTGGGACATTGCAATGGCTGGAATGCTGAGGACCCATCACCAGGACCCTTTGTCCAGTGCTGCCACAAGTTTAAACATTTGCTGTGTGAGAGGTCATAACCTGAGAACCACATCTATGTTCATGGGGTTGAGCTCTGAGAAATGGATCTGATGCAACATCGCCCTGTGGTGAATGGTGGAGATGCATAAATCAGAAAAATTAAGGAAAAACAAGAATAGTTTACTCCATATAATGTATGCCCAATGTACATGCAGGACAACGATACAGAGAAATGGGAGGTGCACTTATGAATGATTATGTAAAGAAAAGATACTCATAACTCGTCTTTTTTCCTTTCATGCTGAGAATATAATCCACTGGGACCACAAATCTAATAGTATCCTTCTCTTGCAGCTGTCCAGTCTTGGGTACAGAGCCTTTTTTTTAGGAACCTTACTTTCACACTAAGAATGTAATCCACCAAGACCTCGAATTTAATACTATCCTTCTTTTGTAGCTGCCCAGTCTTGGATTGAAATTGGACAACTTGACACTACTAACTTGATGCAGCCAGCTGGGGATGGCCTTCTCACCACCACCAAGTTCTCTCTGCCAACTCGCTGCCGCTATTTCTTTGCCGGACCTCTGAACCCTGGACAGTTGCTGCAAGGAATAATTCGCTGGAGGCGCCATATGGAGAGCTGACTGAGCAGCTCCGCAAGTTTTACCTTGCAATGAGGTTGTGGCACTTTAAAAAAAGCTTGCCGAACTGCGACACTTTTTTTAAAAAATTGCAGAGCCATGAAGCTTAAAAAAAAAACAAAAAACTGTAGAGCCACGGCGCTTTAAAAAAAAATTTACAAAATAATCTTGCAAAGCTACGGAAGAGGTGTTTTAAAAATACTTACCCTGCACACCTCCATAGCCCAACTGCCTGTTCTGCATTTGGCCCGGAGACAAGGTGTAGAGACAATATTGGCGGTGAAAGGGTCAAGATGGGAAGGATCACACCTGATGCCGCTGCCACTCCCTCTCTGACAGCCTGCTCACTCGCTTTCCATCCGACGCAGCCCAAGGCACGGGGGCAATGGTGGGGGGTGTCAAAATAGGAAGCCCCTGCTTGCTGCTGTCTCCCTGCCAGTGGTAAGTTTCTACCAGTTCACACCGGTTCGCATGAACCGGTAGTGGTAATTTGGCCTGGGCCGCCGAATCGGTAGTGACCACTGGCTGGCCACGCCCCCAAACCGGTCCCCCAGTTGCTGCTCACTCGCCCTGGCCCCCAACGTTCGCTTGCCCTGCCCCCACTCCACGCAGTTACTCCTCACTTCTGCTGTGTAGGTCCCCGTTTGCAGCTTGTCTGCCTGAAGCACTGCATCCTAACTGCGCCGCCCTGATCTGCCTGCCAGGTAAGCCTGTGAGTCATGGCCTACCTAGCTGCCCCTGCCCCCACCATTCCAGTCTGCCTCCCCTACTCCCTTCCCCATGGCCGATAGCCCTGCCATGCTCTCCTGCCTTCCACGCAGCCTTCCTGGCGGTCCCCATGGCTAGGTCCGCTTGCGAAGGCCTTCCCTACTCCCTTCCCTGTAGCCCACAGCCAGGTGGCCCCAACATGCTTGCCTGCCTTCTACGCAGCCTTCCCGGTGTCCCCATGGCCAGCTTGCAAAGGCAGGCAAGTGGGCCTGGCCATGGGGACCGCTGGGAAGGCTGCGTGGAAGGCAGGCAAGCATGGCAGGGCCGCCCGGCTGTGGGGAAGGGAGCTAGCAGCCTACTCCCTTCCCTGCAGCCCTGCCATGCTTGCCTGCCTTCCACGCGGCCTTCCAAGTGTCCCCATGGCCAGCTTGCCACCCACCATCCACCCCGTTTCCCTTTTACCTTTATTTTATTTTTTAAATAATTTTTTGTTATTTTTTTGAAAACAAAAAAGAATCTTTTACATTATTTCTTTTCAACAATTTCGCATCGGTAGACATTTCTTATCCATTTTTTCCTCATTTCCTCATTTCAATTTATCCTTGATATATACTGTATAATTCTAATATTGATTTATTTACGTATATACATATAAATAACAGTGTACACAATTCGTTTCTACAATCTGCATCTTTACTGTTTCCTCTTATTTGTTATTGCATTTCCACTCCTATATCTTCCTCATTTGCTCTTTCCTTGCCTTTTATCTCTCTCCTCTAACCATTCATACCATTTCTCCCACACTATATAATATTCTGTTTCCTCTTTTTCTTGTATTTCCTTTGTAAGTTTGTCCATTTCTGCACATTCCAAAACTTTTCTAATCAAATTATCTTCCGTTGGTATATTGTTATTTTTCCAATTTTGTTTGTATATTATTCTTGCTGCTATTATGATATGTATAATTAAATATTGCAATCTTTTTTTCAAAAGTCCCTGGGACTATTCCTAATAAAAATATTTCTGGCTTCATCTCTATATGCTGTTTGGTTACCTCTTCTAATTGTGGTCGAATTTTACTCCAATATTGTTTTGCTTTGTGGCCCGTCCACCACATGTGGTAATACGTTTCCCTTTGTTGTTTGCATTTCCAGCACATTGATGGGGTATTGGGAAACATTTTAGCCAGCCTTGCTGGTGGAAGGTGCCACCTATAGAATATTTTGTACATATTTTCTTTATAGGTTACACACATTGTCAGTTTGTAATTTTTGTTCCGTAATTTCTCCCATTTATCCAATTCAATGTTATATCTGAAATTTTTTGCCCAAATTATCATGTTTTCTTTAACTACCTCCTCTTCCATTTTATATCTTAATAAATAATTATAATTTTTTTAATCAATTTATTTTCTGTGCCTTGAAGAATTTTATCTAATTCATGTATTTCTTTTTGAAATCCATATTGTATTAGATCTGTCTTATATCTAGATTGTATTTGCATGTAAGGCCACCAATCAATGTCTATACCCTGTTCTTTTAATTCTTGCCTTCAATTCTCTTTGACTGTTTAGTAAATCTTTGTATCTTTTAATTTTATCAATAGCCAATAGTTTCGGATAAATTAGTTCCTCCATTGTAGATAACCATTCTGGAATTTTATCCTAATGATTCTTTTTTATCCTTTGCCATGTTTGTAATAGTGCATCTCTAATTAAATGTCTCTGAAAATAACTGAGTTGTCTATTTTTTCCTTCCCATAAAAAGGCATGTCACCCTATCTGTAGATCATGCCCCTCTAATGTTAGAATTCTTTTGTTC